GAGCCAGCTCATGTGTGTTCCAGACAAACACATGTGGGTTGGGGCTGGCCAAGCCCTGTGGAGCCCACATCACACTACATGTCCTGGATATCAGACTTGGAGCTACAGAATTGAATGTTTTCCAGAGTGGATTTCTGTCTCTTTTTTTGATCTAATCTTCCCTTAATATGTAGGGTGGCTGTGTTTAGTCTGGGTTTGACCAATTAGACAGCCCATGATCAGGCACAGGCTCCAACAACAATTTTCTGGTCCCGTGGGTACTTAGGGGGTAATGTCTTGGTGGAGCAAAGAGGCAGTGGACTGGGCTGTGGAAGTGGCCTGCGTGGAGTGGAGCCTGTTGATGGAACCGTCCAGCCTTTTGTTAGGAGTATAGTGAATCTGGTAGCTCTCAGATGGGGAAGGGAGCAAGAGGGTTAGTGTTTCATCAGGAACTGGAGGCCATTGCATGGCCTTAGACCAAGGTACTCCGCCCTCTGAGCCACTGTGTGATGACTTCTTGCAGGGCCACAGTTTAGATGTTGGTGAAGAAACCCCAAGCCCATCTTCACGCAAGACGATTTGATAGGAGGATGCAGAGTTCAAAAGGCTCTTGTATTCGTGTACAGATTAAAATCCACAGTAGAAAAGGGACAGAGAACAGAATCCAGGTGACACCAGGCAGAGGCTCCTATTTGCCAGTTTTCAGTGGAACTGCTTGTCCCTGCTCAGTTCTTTCAGCAGCCTGCTAACCTGGGCATCCAGGATTCTACTGAACTTCACTTGTGGGTTAGGGAGATTGCTAGCCTAGGTGGCTGACCTTACTTTGTTTCTAGCTGATAACTACATGACCAAAGGCCACCATCACAAGTCATAGTGACATAGGCTTCACATTAGTGAAGACACTTTTCCCAAAAGACATTCCAGAGAGACTAGTCAGAGTAAACAGGGTGTGGGTGGCCCAGACCTGCTCACTGCACACATCTTGGCTGCCAGGGAGAGCACTGAGCAGAGCTATGTACTTGTATTGATGGAGATCACTCCAGGAAGTGGAGTGCTAAATTTTGCTAGGCAGGGCCAAGGACACAGTGTGAGCTCTCTGTCCAAGGCCAAGTGGGTGTGAGATAGGGGTGCTTTGGGCTCTCTGTGCACTTGTAACCTCGAGAACCTTTGGCTCAGATCCCAGGCCCTGTCTCGGCGCTTGTTCGACGCTTTCGGAGAGATCCATCCTTGGGACTCTTGTGCTCAGCAGGGCTTCATGCTCTCCTCACCCACTTCCACAAATGTCCAGAGAGGGCTCTTTTAGATTTTGTTTTTGTTTTCCATTTTATTGTATTGTGTGGGTGTTTATCCTCCATGTATGTCTGTGTACTGCATATGTACAGTGGCCATGGAGCCCAGACAAGGCATTGGAGTTAGAGGTAGTTGTGATTCACCATGTGCCTGCAGGTCCTCTGAAGAGCAGCCAGTGCTCTTAACTGCTGAGCTATTTCTCTAGATCTTCCAGGGAGTTTTCTTTATTCATGGTGACTGACTAAACTGGCTTCAGGCAATTCAGACTCCTGTATAACCCCGGTCACTCTGGCTTTTCTAGGCAAACAAATTCTACTGAACTCATTAGCTAATGTGCCCAAGAGTGGCACCAGGCAAGGTAGAGGCATCACCAGGAAAACCAGGCTCCTTTCTCCCACAGATGTGGCCCTCATGCACAGTCTTACGACTTTTAAGGACCCTTGTGCATGTAGTCTGCTGTGGTCCCTTGGGCTCTGCTTGTCCCAGAGGTCCTGGAAAAATATCTGCCATGCTCAGGGGTGTTGACCTGTGGGGTAGTTTTGACTATCTGCAGATCCACTTCCCTGTACACAGTGTGGCGAGCAGGAGGCTAGGGGATGGACCCAGGGCTTACTCTCAGCCCTGCAGGTCAACAGGAGCAAGAAGGGGGCTAAAATATGCAGCAAGTCTAAGACGACCCCATCAGGCCCTAAAAGAGCATCAGAACTCCGTGGGCACTGAGTTGGAGACACCTGAGACTCACAGGAGCTTGCCAGTAGCTTCTTGGGGGTCATATCTGCGCTCAGGGGACAGAAGGATCTGCTGTGAGAAAGGTACAGTAGGAAAGGTATGAGGGGTAGATTGCTGGCCAGAGAGGGCCGAGGGGCTGTTGAGCAGCGGGCCTGACTTGAGTGGGGGGTGAGGGATTGGAGAGAAAGGCAGTTCCTGATGGTCCCCCTCCCAGGGGCTGGCTTTCCTCTGGTCCTTCTCTCCCAATGACTGCGTCTTCATCCAGGCCGCAGCCCTGGGCTCTGCCAGCACCTTCAACTCCAGGCTGCCTGGAGACACATCGGTGGCCTTCCTGTGGACCACTCCAGCGTAGAGGGCTGGTCTGCTGCCCACCTGGGCCAGCTAGATTAGCAAGTCCTGCAGCTGAACTGGAAAAACACCCTTGCTCTGGCTGTGTCTGGTGATAGTGGTCAGAACTGTTTCTGCTGGTAGCCCTGCCCAGTATCTGGGTACACAGCCAAGGGAGGACCAAAAGAGTCTACGGTTTAGAGTGCTGGCCTGTTCTCTGGCATCAGGATCTGGCTTTTATGTGTGTTGTTAGTCCAGGAGCCCCCATCTACAGCAGCTGACAGGAGCAACATAGAGAACTGCTGGACTGTCTCATTAGCTGTGTCTATTCTGCTTGTGAATTTGCCACTTCCCTATGACCTCCCCCCTCCCAGATCTCCTGGGCTTTGTAGTTCCTATAGCCATTATTTCTCTAAGGACTTTATAAAAGTTTTTGTACGTTGTGAACCCTGTTTTTTCTGTTACCGTTTCTATCCTGCTTCTGTTTTCCTGGCTGCTTTGGTTTTCCTAGAGTCAGAGCATGTCTAGTTTGTGATATGCCTGCCGATATTTCTTGATAGCCCAAATCACTGAATTTCAGGGTCCCTGGCCCCACAGTGTGAATCTGTCTCTGTTTCATGGACTGCTGGGTAGGCACAATTTCTCAGAGACCAACCCCTTTTAATATAAAAAAACCGTTATATGTATGAATGTTTTGCCTGCATGTACATGTGTGCACCATGTGTGTGCCTGGTGCCTACAGATGACAGAACAGGTGCTCTGAGACTGGAGTTACAGATGGTTGTGAGCCTCCACATGGGTGCTGGGGATTGAACCTGAATCCTCTGGAAGAGCAGCCAGTTTTCTTTCCTTCCTTCCTTCCTTTTCTCTCTCTCTCTCTTTTTTTTAAATTTGTTTATTTTTATTTTATGTGCTTTGGTATTTTGCCATGGGTTTCGGGTCCCCTGGAACTGAAATTCAGATACTTGTTAGCCTCTATGTGGGTGCTGGGAATTGAACCCCGGGTCCTCTGGAGGAGCAGTCAGTGAGTGCTCTTAACCACTGAAATGTCTCCAGCCCCACGGCCAGTTTTCTTAGTCACTAAGCCCCAGTTTGCCGGATACTCTGGGGACAGACACGTGGTGGCATTGTCCATGCAAAACTTTCATGAGCCTGCCTGCTTCCATGGGCTCTCGGGCAGGCCACAGCCATGGCAAGTTGTGGCCTGAGCCCCCTCTACCACTGTAGCAGCACTGCTTTGGTGGCAGGCCTGATGTGGCCGCGATAACCTGTTCTGTGAGTACAAAGCATAGACCCAAGAATTAGAATTGGCAGTGTCTGTCCCAGGGATATCCCTAGTGTCCCCAGACCTGGGCCCCCTCCAAGGCTGTAGTGGCTGTGACGGCTGTCTCCAGGTCTCCAGGCCATGCTTCCTCATGTGCCCATGGAGGCTCTTATCAAGGACAGTGCCCTGTATGGAGACTGGGGACATGGGTGCCTTAACCTGTAGAGACTGGGCTAGGCCTTGTGCTGGTCTCCTATATGGAGAGCCATCAAGGGCCACAGACCATCTTACATGTGCCATCTCCTAGGAGGCACCCAAACTCAAGTGGTCATGTCATGATTAGCACCTTAGTGCCAAGGCCACTGCATCTACTCTCCCCAGACCTGAGAGTGAACACAGCCTGACCTGACCCCCCAGCTACCCTGACCTCCGAGGCATCTTCTGTCTGTGCCTCTATGACGTGTTGGTCTCCTCTGGACATGCATGTGCTCATGAAGACAGTGTCACACTGCGTACAAATGCCATGCACAGGTACACATGAACATAGATGCATGCACATATCTGCAGAGTGACACACAGTCCCTCACTTAGTCCTTAGTGGACTCGTGTCCGTGCACACTGCCCCCTGCTCACTGCTTGGCCCCCTCAGTGCTGAAACAGTTTCTTGGCTGTCCCAGGTTTCAGCTGCAGGCATTAGCCATGTCCTGGAACACCAAATCATGGCACCTGTGTACATTTCAGGGCTCTTTGAGGCTCCTTTCCAGAGTTGATGCATCTAGACTAGATCTAATTTCAGATCTAGAAAACTCAGGGAAATGCCTTCTGGGCCGGGAGGCTCCGAGGCATGGGTTCCGTGTGACAAGGGATTGTGCTCACTTAGCACCATGTGTGTGTGCACATGCCCAGCACAGGTTTCTGCCTCCTAATGTGGATATGCAGAACCATTAGGTCCATTGGAATAGTAGGTGTGTGTGCTGGACAAAGGCCTGCGGGGACATGTGTCACAAATTATCCCAGGTGAGTGGGCCCCGATGTCTGGCCTCGGGGTGCTGTGGGCTGAAATGAAGGTATCTCCCACAGTGGCTCATGGGGAGTACTTGGTGCCATTTCTGGGGAGAGGATTTGCTACCCTTTACCCTAGCTTCATGTGGGGTTCTTAATCCTGCTGTTGCCCCTTCTAGCACCCACTCACCACCCCCATGTGGTGTGTCCAGAGTCAGGGAGTGTCGTGATGGTGGAGTTACAAAGTGATGCTGATGTGCCCAGGTGAAGGGCAGTATCTGTGATGTCACCAAGCACCTGGTTCTCACTTGTCCACCCCCACTCACTGGTGTTGTGTTCTGGGCCACTGAGACATCTAAAGGCCCTCTGACACTGCTGTTGACAGCTCACTATTCTCCTTTTCCCACAGACCTGTGACCGTGTGAGCAAAGCCACCCTTACAACCCATGTGCATCATCTTCTTTAAGTTTGATCCTCGTCCTGTTCCCAAAAATGCATACAGGTAATGAATGCCCTTGTCCTGCCTCTGCCATGCTACACTGGGCCTGGGGTACATGGCTTCTCCTCACCACTAGAGTGCCATGTATGCAGGAGACAAGGGCAGGCTGCCGGGAGTGTGGGTCAGGCTCTGAACAGCCAAGTCCTGATGTCTGGAGGCAACCTGCCCAGGCCTGGTCCTGCTGTCCTGGACAGTGGTTGCTTAGCGTGGGGTGCTGGGAGGAATCCCACTCTAGAGCAGGGACTCAGAGCTAATGTGCAGGTATGTCAAGACAGGGGATGAGGTGCAGTTCTATGGGTTGTGGCTAGGGTCATAGCCGCACAATTGATGACGGTGACTGAGACTCTTCTGCGCTGGTTTGGATGAGTGGTCTGGGTGGTGGCAGATTGAGGAAAGCATCCATAGGATTTGGACTCTGTCTGAGGAGTGAGGAAACTGGAGGTGCTGAGTATCAGCCAAGGACGTGGGAAACAGTGGGCAGGAAGAGTGAATAGTAGCCCCTTCTCTCCCCAGGACTTGTCAGCATTTATCCGTAGCGAATAAGGCAGAGATTTAACCCATAATGAGAAAAGGACTTCAGAACTCCTCTCTTATGCATTTGCCTGGATGTGTTATAGAAATGATCCGAGTTGTTTCAGTGAGGTTCTCGTGCTGAGTCACTTGCAGAATAGCTGAGACACACCATGCTGTCACAGTGACTGAAATCCCTCATTTCAGGCTGGGGAGTGGGAAGGCAGTGGTGTAACGTTTCTCTTTCTGCAGAGGACAGGCAGTGGAGTTGGGTCAGTCTAAAGGAAGCGATTCCAGTGGCCCCTGGCAGATCATCAGAGGGAGTCAGGGACCATTCCGCAGGTGGAATATTGCAAGGAAAGTGATAAAGAGGTGGTTACATTGAGGGGCTGGCTGGTGAGCAGTGAACAAACTAATGAATGTACCAATAACAAGCATGAGAAACAGCCCCTACTCCAGTGCCTGGAGCAGAGCCCTATCTGTCACTGCCATAATAAGATCCCCAGTGGAGGTGCTGGAGAGATGGCTTGCTGCTCTTCTAGAGGACAGGACCCACTTGGCAGTTCACGACTGTCTGTAATGTGAGTTCCAGGGACTCCAGTACCCTCTCTGGCCTCCACAGACACCAGGCACTCCAGTGATGTACAGATATATATGTAGGCAAAACACCATATATATACAGTTTTAAAAATTAAAAAGCTGTTCAAAAAATAAATAAAAATTAAAAAAAGGAAAAAAATAAAACTTATAACTGGGAAAAAAATTAAAAAGCTGGGTGGTGGTGGCATACATCTTTAATCCTACTACTAGGGAGGCAGAGGTGGAAAGATCTCTTTGAGTTAGAGGTCAGCATGGTCTACAGCATGAGTTCCAGGACAGCCAAGGCTACTTAGAAACCCCGTCTCAAAAAACGAAGAAAACCAAAAATGTAGGCAGTAAAGTATGGATCTGAGCCTTCTGGTACTAAGCTGAGAAGTGGTTCGACTTGCTCCCCTGCTCTCCTCAGCCCTTATATTCATGTAAGCTCCCCTGCACCAGCAAAAACAAAGTTGTATTTCCATTTGGGGTGCCCCAGCCCACCAAACAGCTTCTTAGTCTTAAGTGACATGTAAATTCCAGGGTTGGCAGATCCCACTTGATAGTTTGTTTTTGAAGACCACCTGCAGGTAAAATTAAAATTAAAAGAAATCAGCAAGAGTACATCGTGTCCAAGTAGGTAGTAAAGACCTGTGAAAGCCAAGTGTGCAGCACACACCTAGCATCCCAGTTACACAGTGGGCTCGGGCAGGACAAGACAGCCCGGCAGGGAGAGGAGGAGCACAACCACCGTCCTCATTCCTGGGGTCATCACATATTCACTGGCTTCCTTCTGCAAAGCTCAGACATTAACAGATCCATACTGGGCCATGGCCTGCCACCTCTGTCCAGCTTTGGGTAGCTGAAGTTTAGCTGTTCCTCTCCCACCAGGGAATACTCAGAGCCTGTGCCTGTGGCAAGCTCCGCCCACCTCATCCCTGCCGGGAGAGGCTCTGACCTCTGGGGACAATCTCTAAGATTTACCAATCACCTGGGCTGCACTGCAGATCACTTTCACATCCAGTTAGTCTGAGATCCTGAGGACCAACCATGATTCAATCACCAATATGATAATTAGGAAACGGGCTTAAGGGCTGGAGAGATGGCAGATCACTTTCACATCCAGTTAGTCTGAGATCCTGAGGACCAACCATGATTCAATCACCAATATGATAATTAGGAAACGGGCTTAAGGGCTGGAGAGATGGCAGATCACTTTCACATCCAGTTAGTCTGAGATCCTGAGGACCAACCATGATTCAATCACCAATATGATAATTAGGAAACGGGCTTAAGGGCTGGAGAGATGGCTCAGCCGTTAAAGGCTAGGCTCACAACCAAATATAGGAAACGGGCTTAAATCACCTGAGCCTTAATTATCAATTGGGATCCAGATGTGGCTCACACCTTGTAATCACAGCACTTGGGGATGCAAAGAGGAGGTTCAAGGCCAACCTGGGCAACATGAAATTCTGAAAGAAATAAAAAATTGATCACAATGCTAGGCTTGGTCCTCAGGACAATGTCTGTCACAGATGGCTTTTGAAGTGGGCAAAGTCTCCTTAGGTTTGACTGAGAATGGCTTCCATAGGCTCATAGGTTTGAATACTTGGTCCCAGTTGGTGGAACTGTTTGGGAAGGAGAAGGAAGAACGGCCTTCTTGGAGGAAGGGAGGTGTGTCACGGGAGGATGAGGTTTGAGGTTTCAGAAGATTTGGCTTGCTCTCTGTCTCCAGCTTGTGGATTAAGATATGAGCTCTCAGGGCTGGAGAGATGGTTCAGTGGTCAAGAGCACTGGCTGTTCTTCCAAAGGACCTGGGTTCAATTCCCAGCACCCACATGGCAGCTCACAGCTGTCTGTAACTCCAAGATCTGATACCCTCACAAAGACATCCATGCACTGGTTAAATACTAGTGCAAATAAAATAAAATTAAAAAAGAAGATGTGAGCTCCCGTTGTTTTTGCCACCATACCTTTGCTTGACAGTCATGGACTCTAACCTCTGAAACTGTAAGCCCCAAATTAAATACTTTCTTTTATAAGCTGCCTTGGTCATAGTGTTTTATCACAGCAATAAAAAAGTAACTGGACAGCTATCCGCAACTGCAGGATGTTCCTGTGTTTAAATTCTAACTGCAGCCAGGTATAGTAGTACAGTCCTTTAATCCCAGCACTCCAGAGAGAGGTGGATCTCTGTGAATTCCAGGACAGCAATTTATCACAGCTATAAACTGAGAGTCTGTCTTGAAAAAAACCAAAAAGTAAAAAATAAAAATCCTAACTGCCAGTACATCAGAATACAACTCTCTGTAGAGATAGACCTTAAACAAGTGATTAAGGTAAAATGAAGCCACACAAGTGAACACACAGAAGAATGCTGGATGTGAACACAGAGGTAGACAACGGGACCTTGGTGGGATCTGCTAGTGCTGTGATCTTGGACTCCCAGCCTGCAGAGCTACAAGGCAATGAATGTTGTTGCTGAAGCTGCCAGCCTGTGGTGATCCATTATGGCAGAGGGGGAAGCCAGAGCTCCAAGGAGATCAGTCAGCACGATGGCTTTCCCAGGGGACTTCTCCCTGCACTTGGATGCTCATGTCTACAAGGAGGAAGCTTAGCTGCCAGCTTACAGCACACTGGTCTGTTTTTCTGATGGAGGTGAAGAGGCTCTAATACAGATCTCACTAAGTCAGCCCTGGGCAAGTGAATGAATATGAACCAAATTTCCCAGCTTTGTGGATGAAGTTCACTTCCGGTAGCTACTTCTATTCCAGCTCCAGGGACGTCCAGTGACAGTGGCAGACAGCAGGTGTCACCTCATGTAGCGCGCGGAGATGTAGCGCGCACCATGGCGCTGTCATGTCAGGGGCACGGAGCCTGGGCGCCATTTGCTGTTCCACGTCAAACTTGACAGCTTGTGCACAACTTGACAGACAACTTGTGCGCATGCGCGCGCACAGCGCATGCGCGCAAGCCCCCCCCCCACGAGGGGAGTATTTCGATCTGGCCATCCGATCTGGCCAATCATAATTTAAGCACGATCACTCCATTCTGGCCTGAGCCATTGGGTTGATGACACGTCAGGGCTTTGTCTGGCACTGTATATATTCTTCTGCTTCACGGGGACAGGGTCTTTTGCCTCTCTACAACCTCAAGTGTAAGTGCTCCAATAAAGTGTGTTCTGAGAAGAATCCTGTTGCGGTAGTCTCTTCTGCTGGCGGGAGCGGCGTGCTGCAACCTCAGTTGCAACCACATAGCTTCTGACCTGTTCCCTGAGAGGACAAGTGAGCAGTACTTTAGATTTCTGCCATGATCCCTAAGAGTCTAAAATCTCCCAGGTCAGAATTATAAAATACGATACTGGAAAGGATGCTTGAAACTAACTCTTGGGGTGTGATATATAGATAGCTCAGTGGTAGAGAATTGTCTTCTCAACACTGCAAAAATAAAATACAATAAAGCAATTATTCAAGTTAAGGGTTGAACTCAGGACCTAGCATAACGCCTCTTAACGACGAATAGGTCAAAAGTAAAGCAAATAAATGCTTTTACTCTGATTGGCAATTATGTGCACCTCAAACTCTATAACTGATCATATGAAATACTCTTACAGGCAACCTAACAGCTTTGACAAGATTGATCAGTAACCACAGTAAGTCAGTGTAGCCTGTCCAGTCACCCAGAGAGCCATGATCTAGAGAAACTTGCATTTTTTTATAAATGCAAATACAGTAAAAGCATGCCCTTCTATTTATTTACTGGGGAAATGTCAGTGTTTCACTCCCATTCACAAAGCTAAAATGATGCATTCTAATTAAAAATGTTTTTCTTAAGCATGTGGTATGCATGCATATGTGTGGGTGCATGAGTATGTTAAGGTATGCATGTGCACATGTATGCGTGCATTTGTGCACATGCATGTGGAGGCCTGGGGTTCATGTCGCAGTTCTTCTGTCACTCTACCTTATGCATTGAGACAGGGTCTCTAGGTTGACTCCAGAGCTTGCCAGTGTGAGTAACCTAGCTACTCAGCTTACTCCATGGCTGGAGTTAAAGACAGGCCACCATGCACACCCAACATTCACATGGGTGCTAGGAACTTGAACTCAGAGCACAGATGAACCTTCATGGGTACCACGGTCCCTCCCAAGTGTTAGCTCAGGGAGTTGCTTTTCTTTTCATCTAGGACTTTACGTGGGTACTCATCTCTCTAGCACATTTCCTGATTATAAAGTCCCCACAAGCCATCAGCAGTTGAACCTGTGATAAAAAATAGCCCAGAAGTTAGTGTTCTTCAGTAATTAGGCAAACATAGTTCTTGCTTAAAATAGGCAGGTGAGGAATTAGAGAGATGACTCAGCAATTAAGAGCACTGGCTGCTCTTCCAGAGGACTCAGGCTTGATTCCCAGCACTCACATGGTAACTCACAGCCACCTGTAACTCCAGTCCCAGGGAATCCAGTTCCTTTTCTGGCCCCCATGGGCTGCATGTGGTCTCATTATATAGCCCTGGCTGGCCTGAAACTCATAGAGCTCCACCTGCCTCTGCCTTTGTCTCTGCCTGTCTAGTGCTGGGACTAAAGTTGTGTATCATCACACCTGGCTTGACTTCACCACAGAAAAAAAAATATCAGGGTAAGTCAACATGAAGCAGAGTTGGAGTTTATTGAGAAGAGATTTTGGCAGAGAGGTTAGTAGAGACACTTAGGCATCAAGACATGCTCGAGGCAGGTGTGGGCTTCCCCAGACATGCTTCAGTGTCTGCGGTATTATTCTGTTGCCTTCTGAAAGCACATCTCGCAGGTGTAGGATACTGTGCCTTGTGCAGGTATATCTCAAAGGTGTATGTATGGGGGCTAGAGGGATGACTCAGTGGTTAAGAGCACCCACTTCTTTTTCAGAGGACCCAGGTTCAATTTCCCAGTACCCACATGGCAACTCACAACTGTCTGTAACTCTTGTTCCAGAGCATCTGACACCCTCACATAGATATACATGTGGGCAAAACACCAATGTACATAATATACAAATAAGTGAATTATAAAAAAAGTTTTTTAAAAAAGTTATAGGTATGATCTTATTTATTTAATTTTGTCTTTCGAGACAGGGTTTCTATGTGTAATAGCCTTAGCTGTCCTGGAACTAGCTCGAGACCAGGCTGGCTTCGAACTCACAGAGATCCACCTGCCCAAGAGCTGGGATTAAAGGCCTGTGCCACCACCACCGGGTGCCACCACCACCCGGCTATTATTTATATTTTTATGGATATGGGCACGTCAGTACAGGGATCCCCTAGAGCTGGAGTTACAAGTAATTGTGAGCTTCCTGATGCGGGTTCTGGGAATCAAACTCTGGTCCACTGGAAGAGCAGTCCATACTCTTAACCACTGAGCCCTCTCATGTACCTGCCCTATGCAGGCAGTCTTAACAGTAAGTAGTAACTGTACTAGAATTCTCAGCCCTGAGTTGGTGAGCTACGTAAGCCCTTTCCATTCCCATGTCTCCGCAGTTCCCTTTCTATCCTGCCTCCTACTTAAACCTCTTCCTAGCCCCTGTCTCCTGAGCAGGGGCTCTGGATGTAGCTTTCCAGGAGCTGCCTAGAGCGCCTGTGGGTGTATGGCAACAAATGGGGGCAATTCTTATTTATGTTGCTGCTGCTGTAAATTTAATGTCAAACCAGAGAGGCTGGAGGTGCAGCTGCATGAGGGAGCATATGCAGTTCAGTCCCCAGCACATGGTTTCCCTTGAACTTTCTTCTCCCAGGTTCATCTTGGCAGCCAACAGAGATGAATTCTACAACAGGCCCTCCAAGTTGGCAGACTTCTGGGGGAACAACAATGAGATCCTCAGTGGTAAGTGTTTCTTCACACCTGGTGAGCAGCTGTCTACAGTGGCACCCAACAAATAAGGCTAGTAGTGGCCCTGCTTCCACATGCAGCGCTGAATGCATAAGTAGGCGGGAATGACTTCGGGGATCCAGCTCTCTGCTCTTTGTCCCATGAACTCTGGCTGCCTTAGTCTCCTGGATTCTCAGCTCTGACCTCATATCACAGTGTCTGCTAGGCCCTGGGGAACTCTCTCATCATGAGGCTCATGGGCTTGTCTCATTTGTTTCTAGTCTCTCAGACCCTTTATCTATTTTAAGTGACATTTATTTACTGTTTGTTTATCTGTGTGTATGTATCCGTGTGTGCACTCTCTGCCACGTAGATTATGGGGGTCAAACATCAGGCTTGACCTCAAGCGCGGTTACCCACTTCCTCATCTTGCCAGCCCATTTGGCTTTTTGTTGCTGTTTTACGGTGCTGGGGATCAACCCCGGGGTCCTAGACATGCTAGACAGGCAAGTGTTCTGCCGCTGAGCCTTATCCCTAGCCTGTTTTTTGTTTTGTTTTGCTTTGGATGGGAGGAGACAGGGTCTCACTGTGTGTTTCTGACTAGCCTGAAGCTTGTTGCCTCTGCCTCCTGACTGTGGGATGACAGTGAGCCTTACCACACCTGCTCAAATCCTCCTTAAAGCCCATGTTTTCATAGGCTTTGTTTTTGGTAGTTTTGTGTGGGAGAGTAAACCTGTTCTCTGATGCTTGACCAGACAGTGAGAGCTTATTTGTTTTTCAGTTGTTGATTTGTAGGGTTTATTTATGCATTCCGGATATGAGTCTTTCATTGGGCAAATGGGCTGCCAACTAACTTCTTTAATGTCTTTTCTTTTTCTTTTTTTTCTTTTTTCTTTTTTGGTTTTTGAAGACAGGGTTTCTCTGTGTATCTCCAGCTGGCCTGGAACTCACTCTCACTCTGTAGACCAGGCTGGCCTCGAACTCACAGAGATCGGCCTGCTTCTGCCTTCCGAGTGCTGGGATTAAAGGCAAGTTGCTCTACTGCCTGGCTAGAATACTTTATTTTTAACAAATATAGTTTTGGGGGCTGGAGAGATGGCTCAGTGGTTAAGAGCTTTGCCTGTTCTTCCAAAGGTCCTGAGTTCAATTCCCAGGAACCACATGTGCTCACAACCACCTGTAATGAGATTTGGTGCCCTCTTCTGGCCTGCAGGGATACATGCAGGCTGAACACTGAATACATAATAAATAAATAAATAAATCTTAAAAGAAAAACCTTAAGAAATCATAAAATTAAATTAAAAAAAATGTAGTTTTTATGGTTTTTCTTTGTCTTTTTCAGGAAGCCTGTTGCTCCCCCAAGCCATAACATTTTTCTGCTCAAGCCTCTAAGTTGACAGTCTGACTATTGTCTCAAATTAGCTTTTATTGTGTGTATGTGTGAGTTTATATGTACATGTGTGTGCACATGTGTGCATGGAGCCAGAGGACAACTTCAACTGACTTCAGACTTTTAAACAAAGTCTCGTTAGCCTGAAACTCACTCATTAGTCCAGACTGGCCCATCACAAGATCCCACGATCAGTCTTTCTCTGCTTGCACCACCTCATCCTGAACCTTATGGGGTTCTGGAAATCAGACAGATCCTCATAACTTGCAAGGCAAGTATGTTAGCAACTCTCTCCAGCTCTGAAATCAGTTTTTGTGTCTGGTATGAGGTAAGAGTCGAGATTAATTCTCCTAGTCACTGCAGTATTGTTTACTGAAATCAGCTGAGCAAACATGTTGGGTCTGCTCTGGACTCGGGGCACACTGGGTGTGGCACACTGACTGATCTGTGTGTCTTGGCACCAGTACCAGTCGCTGTTACTGTTCTTTTGAACTGACACAGTAGTCACACCTGATCTTTTAAGCCCAACAGTTCAGGGCTCTAAGTGTTTTCAATGGTATAGTTAAATTTTCATTTTCTAAGCTGGGCATGGTGATGTAGCCAGACCTGTAATCCCAGAACGTTTGAGTCTGAAACAGAAGTGTCACCGTGAGGTACCTGTCAAGCCCTTCTGGGCTGTAGTTTGAGACTCTGACTTACAGAAAGAGAGTAGGGCTAGGGAGGGAGCTCAGTTGGTGCTTGCCTAGCATGCAGTGCTGAAACCAGGCACAGGCAGAACACGCCTGAGAATCAGATGTTCAAGGCTAGCCTCAACTACATAGTGAATTCAAGGCCAGCCTGAGCTACATTAGACCTTGACTCAAAATGTAGCAGTAAGTGAACAAGTAAATGTTCACTCTCTAGTTCTCAGCCTGCTCTCTTGCTGGGCCTAGTGGGTTGCCGTGGGTCAGTTTGGGCTTCTATGTAGGTGATTCTGCTCTGTACCGTAGAGTTTGTTTTCTTTCCTATGTTTGCATTTTATGTTTATTTTTCTGTTATAATTGATTTTTATTCAAACAAATGACATTTTAGGGTGAGGGAGATGCCTCATCAGGTAAGAGTACTTGCTGCATGAGCATGAGGGTCTGAGTTTATCCTAGCACCCACCAGCATGGTCTTGTCTGCCCATGAGCTACCCAGAGCCGTAGAAGGCAGAGACAGGGCCACTGTGGAGTGATGGCCCCTCCTAGCTCCAGACTTAGTGAGCTGCTATTGTGAGGGTTAAAGTGGAGAGTGTTAGTATCTTCCTCTAGCCCCTACCTGGGCACAGGTACATGTACCAGCACACACAGGTGTGCAAATAACATACTCACATTAGACATACATACTCATATATACACACTTTCTCATAGGACATCTTAATAACTCTTTACTGTGATGTTTAGTGTAGTGATCTAATAGTCTGGCTGGGACACTTCCTGTTATCTAGGGTCTCTCTCTCACATACTCATACCTGGGCCATACCTCCCATCTATGGCTTATAGGACCTGTGCAACCTAGTGTGGGACCTAGTGGCGGCAGCATTGACCCTCTGAGGAGCTGTATGTCCTGGCAGAGCTATGGAACATGTCTCATGAGGACTGGGCAGAGGGTCCCAGTGGGACTCGTCACAGGAACTTGGCTGATGGTAATGCTGTCATCTGCTCTAGGACTCGACATGGAGGAAGGCAAGGCAGGAGGAACATGGCTGGGCATCAGCACACATGGGAAGCTGGGGGCCCTCACCAACTATCTGCAGCCCCAGCAAGACCCATATGCCCGTGGTAGAGGTATGAGGTCTGTGGGATTGGGTGGGACCTAAGTAGAGCAAAGCTGAGACACCTTGGGGTGGAGCTTAGGTAAGACTGGCAGAGCGATGGAGACAGGCAGGTCTCACTTGGTACTGAGGAAGGAAGGTACCCAGCCAGGGCTTCTGCTGGTGAGCCCCAGCCTCTCATGTGACCGTCACACAACAGTGACAGGAAGAAGAGCTGGAGAAAAGAGCTGGAGGCATTGCCGTGTGATTGTGCCTGGGAGTGCCCTTCAGACTTGACTCCTGCACTGTGTCATTGCCCCCTGCAAGTTGAGTTTCATTTCTCTTTTATTTTTTTAGATACTTATTTATTTATGTAATACATACACACATATAAGTGCTCTTGCCTGCATGTATGCCTACATGTCAGAGGAGAACATTGGATCCCATTATAGATTGTTATAAGATGCCATGTGGGTGCTGGGAACTGAACTCAGGATCTCTGGAAGAGCAGTCAATGCTTTTAACTGCTGAGCCATCTCTCCAGCTTTGAGTTTCATCAAAGAAACTCTGAGCTCTGGGCCCACGTGTGTGTGTGGGGGGGGGCTGTATTTGTTTTGTTTTTCAAGACAGGGATTCTCTATGTGACCTGGCTGTCCTGGAACTCGCTCTATAGACCAAGCCAGCCTCAAACTCAGAGATCAGTTTGTCTCTGCCTCCTAAGTGCTGGGATTAAAGGCATGTGCCGCCACCACCCAGCCCTAGAAAATATTTTTAAAGCCATTCTCCATAATAGCCCAGTTAGCAAGGAATGGCTGGCTCAGATGTTGGAGCCCCAGTGCAATTAACCCTCATATGTTCTCCCAAGTCCCTGCTTCAGTCTTCCCCACAGCAGGACTTCATGGCTGCTGCCTTGGCCATTGTTGTGTGTGTCCTGCCTACAGGTGAACTTGTGACTCACTTTCTGACCGGTGACATGGACAGCCTTTCCTACCTGAAGAAGGTCTCTACAGAGGGCCACCTGTACAACGGCTTTAACCTCCTGGCAGCTGACCTGAGGTGGGTCTGCCTTGGTAACTCGGTCTTCAGCTCCCTGCCCCAGTCAGCTCGGTGGCCTTTCCCGGGACCTCACTTGAGGGATGCTTGGCAAACACCCGAGGGCCTAGCCTGTCTCAGATCCACTGACTGAGAATAAGCCCCGAGCTCAGTTTCTTGAGACAGTGTATGGTTGCCGGCTTCCTGCAGTGACAGAACTGCTGTCAGCAGCTGACAGTGCCTCTTGGGGCAGCTCCAGCCCCATTACTGCCAGTGGGGATGCTTCATAACAGCTGGCTCAGTCTGTCTTGGCTTGAGCTCCCAGGTGTTCTCATGTTGGAGATGTGGCTATAGGAACAGAAATTTGATATGCTTGGCCTTTCAGTGGGTTAAATGTCCTTATCTCCCTTTTATCAGTCAGTGAGTGCTATTAGCTGCAGGTTTCCTCCTGAGGGAAGCTGCTGTCATCCTACACCCAGATATCTGTCCTGAGCTGCTCCTACCACAGGGGCAGGTCCACAGGTCCATAGGTGAGCATCCCTTGTGTATGTGTGTCCTGTGTCATTCCAGGACTACATGGCTAGATTGACTGGTTGTGGAAGCTGAGTGAGGTGCAATGGTCAGGAAGAAGCCCTGGAGTGGGCGCTAGGAGGGCATGCTGCCATCCTCCTTTCTCACTCTGGGGGCCCTGGAGGCCATAAACCTGATCTCTCTCTTCTCCAAACATGGAGCTGGGTGTGCACTTTCAGTAGTAGTTCATGTGTGTCTGATCTAGTCCCAAGAGACCAGAACCATGACTCTGATGCGGGCAGGAATGACTGCTCAGTAGCTATGTCAAATGGGTGAAAACAAGGCTGATGTTCTCTGGGCAGATACATGGTGGCTTCCCATTTCTCTGGGCAGATACGTAGTGGCTTCTGCAGTTGGGCCTCTGGAGATCTGAGCAGCCTTCCTTGCTATAGACCCTGCAAGGTCAGAGTTCAGCTAAAGAGCAATCCCACAATTCAGGCTGCTAATGCTACCACTGAGGGTAGCAGTTGGGGACTGATAAACCAAGGTCTAAGCTGGTCATAGTGCTACACACCTTTACTCCCAGCACTTCGGAGACAGAGAACAGGCAGGTCTTGGTGGGGTCAAGGCCAGTTGATTTACTTAAAGAGTTGCAGACCAGCTATGACTATATAGTGAGACCTTGTCTCAAAAACAGCAACCAAGACCTGGGGCTAGAGAAATGGCTTAGTGGGTAAAAGTGCATACAGTCTTTGTAAAAGACAGGAGTTCAGTTCCCAGCATCTATGTCAAATGACTCTTAAAGAGATTGAGAGAAAGAAAACAAGGCCTTCAATGGAGAGATATTTGTCCTGGTCACAGCTACCCCTGGACAGTACCTCCCCAATACACACACTTTATCTAGTCCCTGGCGAGGGTGACAGGGACCCTGGCATGGGTACCCAATTCCTTGGGTCCTTACACACACACACACACACACACACAAAATATTGAAGAAAAAAAATTCTCACAAAGTTGTAAGGGCTGGAGTGAGGAAGAATGTGAAGGGGTGTGAACCCAGACTGCGGACTACTGGACAGGGGGAGCAAGAGGAATCGTTGCGGTAACCGAAAACCCCCACTTGTCACTGTCCGTTGGAAAGTATTTCAGTCACTTCTGAGTTCCAGTGAAAGACTTCCTGTGGCGTGGAGGAACTGGGACTTTTTCAGCAGCTACAGCCGTGTAGCTGTGAAATGTTACAGTAGGAGAAGATAGTCTTTGTCACTTTGTTCAGAAGCCTGCTCTGGGGCTGCCTGTCAGAAGCACGTAGAGATGGGCCATACAGTGGCCGCCGTGACCCACCAGAAGGGCTGGGGGTGGCATGCAGCTATCGCAGCATCCGTGTTAGAGAACTGCGAGGTATTTGCACATCTGCTTCCTCCTCTTTGGTTCCAGTAGAGAGCCAGGAGTGTACCTATGAGAATGGACAGGGGCTGGTGTCTCCGTGGCCCAGCTTTCCAGGCCCCGAGCTGGGCTGAAGTGGGCCATCGTCCTTGTGCTGGTCACTAGCCTGAGCTAGAGGCAAGGCAGGTGAGATCACTGGGAAGTGCTGGGAACAGGGCTGCTTGTGGTTCCCATGTGACTTTGTCTGGCTTTTGGCTTCCGTTCACAGCACAACAAAAGGAGATGTTGTTTGCTACTATGGAAACCGGGGACAGCCTGAGCCTGTTGTCTTGGCACCAGGTGAGCCTGCTTTGGTGTCCAGACAGGGTGGGAGCTGCTCTATGTTGGGAATACCATGTTCTTTTCAGAGACCAGGCTATTGTTGCTTTGTTCTCCTGGAACTTGACTTTTTGACTTTTTACTTTTTGACACATTTTTTAAATGTGTCTTGTGGTCTGTGTAGGACTGTGGCCTGCACTTGCCCACATCTGCATACAGTCTCCCATGGGCTTTTACTACACTGGGAGATGCTGACCTGTTCTGGACCCCTGTCCTAGCCCCCAAAGCTCAGCTAGCATCTCATGGGGGTCACCACCTACTGTCTTCCCCAGACCCCTTTGGTGATACATGCACACACCACACACTTCAGCTCCTTTCATATGTATACCTCCTACACCCAGTGCCATACTTGTCCCATGTCCCCTGCCCTAGCTCCTGGATACTCTCCTCTTACCACACCTGTGCCCAGGCTGTAGTCTCTGCAGCTGGGCCTGCTGTCCCTCTCTTCCCTGGGTGTTGTCTTTTCTTGGAAGCCTTTTCCACCAGCTGCCTGCCTCTACCCAGAGCTGACATTTTCTCCCTTCCTCCCTCTCCCCCCCCACACTCATTCACACACATATACTCACATGGCCCTATAAGCCACTTTGGAAAAAGAGATGTCTGTATCTTGTCCCAGGTCTAGTGCCAAGACTGAGCAGGACCCACAGAAAACAGCACTAATGGGGAGCACAGCACAGGGTGAACTAATTTCCTGGGGCCAGCTCCTTCATTCACAGCCTGTGAGCAATCCTTGCTGGTAACATCTTGGGTCTGAGGGCCTTGGACACTGCCCCTGGTCCCTACAGCTGAGCCATTGACCCATACCATTGGTATCCCTACCCTAGGGAGAGAGTCAGTGTCCTCAGCAGCAGTCACAGCCACCTGTGTGTGACACTTTTCGTTCATAGTACAGTTTCTGCATCCCAAATCACGGAGTCTTTCTTAGGCAGTTGGCGCAGATTACTAAATGAGGTTGCAGGACAAATGTCACTCCTTCCCAATTGAGGCCCAAAATGCTGTGTTCCAGGTGTAGCTCAAGGGCAGTGGAGAGCAGCCCCCAGGGGTGGTGAGTAGCCCTACCCTGTGTTATTAGCTCCAGGGATAATGGTGAGACCTGTAGTCCTGGCATGCTTCACAACAAAACTCATACATACACTGGTTCATGCCAAGGCTGGCTTCAGCTTTTCAAGACTTCCTGGAACTGTTTGAGCCCCAGATTGGCCAAAGAGCTGTAGAGCTCCCCCCATTTTCTGGGGTATGTCCAGGCCAGGATGCCATGGGATGATGAGATCCTAGAATAGGCAGCTCACACCTAGAGTGTAGCATCTGCTCATTCCTACTAGATCTCACCCAGGGCTGTCTGCCAGCTGCAGCTACTTGAGCTGCCCTTGGTGGTGTCCATCCTACCTTCCTGCGCAAGCCCAGAGCAGGCACAGCTGCGCTCCCAGCTGATGCCTGACCTGAAGTCCTAAGTTAGGCAGTCACGGGGGTTCATCTCCTGCCAGGTCAGAGCCCTTTCATTTCAGCTTCTTGGGGTCTGCAGACCCACTGAAGAGGATTCGTACCCCAGAAGTCGGCCTTAGTGGCCCAGAGGCCTCTGGGAGAGCGGCTGGAGACAAGGACATGAGGCCTACCGTTCTCAGGCCTGAAAACTCCGACTGCAGCTTGTTTTCTGCCGGATCTTTACAGTAGATACTTGTTCCGTCTATGTCATGACTTAGCCCTGAGTGTGCTCCTACTTGATCTGCACCCCCTTTATTCTAGTGTTGAGAACTGAAGCCAGGCCCTCACACCTACTAAATACACTCTTGGGAAATCCTCAGACCTCCACTTTTAAGCAGGAGAATTGCTCTGAGTTCAAATCTAGCAGTGACTACATAGTGAGTGCCTGGGCTACAGAATGGGGCCCTTGAGATGAGTCTCATATGCTGTGCATGTAAACTCTGTCACACAGCCAGCTGTGGTGACACATGCCTGTAATCCCAGCACTAGAGAGGTAAAGGCAAAAAGATAGTCATAATTCAAGGCTGATATGCAGAATAAGTTCAAAGCTAGCCAAGACTCCATGATAAGCCTCTTACCTAAGAGGTATTTGGGTGGGAGTGTTTCATATAAGCTGAGAGTGGTATACATCTGAAACCCAATGCTCAGGAGAATGAGGCAGAAGGATCATAGTTTGAGGTCAGTCTGGACTTCATTTACAATCAAATGTGAAGCCAGGCGGCCTTGGCGCACGCCTTTAATCCCAACACTTGGAAGGCAGAGGCAGGCAGATCTCTGTGAGTTTTAGGACTCTTGTTCTATATAGTGAGTTTCAGGCCAGCCCAGCAAGGGTTACATAATGAGATGCTATCTCAATAAGCCAAATAAAATAATAAAAATAAATGATGCTCTGGGCATGGTATGCACACCTTTAGTCCCAGCACTCAGGAGGCAGAGGCAGGCGGATCTCTGTAAATTCAAAGCCAGCCTGATTTACATAGAACGCTCCAGGTAATTCCAAAATTTTTCACCATCCATCAAAAAACCCCAGACCCACCTGCAGCTGCTCCTTCTTCCCTCCTATGCCTTCTGGACATTTCATTCAGACAGAACCAGCCATGTAGCAGAGGACGCTGACTTCTACTTGGCTTACTTGATGTTTTCAATTGCCTTTACCTGTGAGCCATCTCGCTGGCCCAGCACATCTCTCTCCACCTAGAGCCTTTGGAAGAACTTCCACGTGGTTCGTCAAAGCAGCTGCACGTTTTACTTTCTGCTGGCAGTTTATAGAGGTTCCTGTTTTCCCGAACTCTCACCAAGGCTTGCTGCTCTCTGAATCTAGGGGGAGAAAGTTCTGGGGATGGAACCCAGGCCCGCAAGCATGCTAAGCACATACTGTACCACTGAGCCTTCTGTCCCCCACCCCCCACCCCGTCCCCAACACGAGGTGCTCTTGACTCAGGTCCAAGGCCTCTGGCATACTAGGCAAAGCTCTCTATCTTTAACATCATTACCTGTCACCTCTTTTCTTTTTTAGGTGGGAGTGAGGGGGAAGCAGGGTGGGGGGCTCATGAATTTCAGGCTAGCCAGACTCCAACTCAGTATATTTCTAAGGATGACCTTGAACTCCTGATCTTCCCACTTCCACCTTCTGAATTCTGGAATTACAGGTGTAGTCTGTCCATCTAAGATTTTTGTTCTTTCTATATAATCTACAAATCTCATCAGACACCTAATTCACAAAAGTCCTTTCCCATTTTGTGTTTTATCTAACTTCTTTGGCACTTTTTTTTGAAATGAGTAACTTTAAATTTACATGAAGCCTCATTTATCGTGTTACTTATGCTTTTATTGTCTTACCTAATAAATTATTGCTTAATCTAAGGTCATGAAGCTTTTTCCTTTTAAAATTTATATATTCTCTGTGTGTGTGTGTGTGTACTTTGGGATTCTCGCTCTAACCCAGGCTGACCTGAACCTTGCTGTGTAGGTTGGCCTCAAACCTGCCACAATCCTGCCTTAGCCTCCTGAGTTCTAGGATTATAGATACATGCCACCACACTTGATCCTAAAGTGCTCCTTTTTTGGGGGGGGGGTTGATTTTTGGAGTCTGGATCTCATACAAACAAACTTGCCTCAAACATTTATTTGTTGTGTATGTGTGTGTACCTGCCTGCGTGCCCATTCCTCAGAGGTCAAAGGACAATTTGGCAGGTGTAGCTCTCTCCACCACATGAATCCCAGAGCTTGAACTCTGATCATCAGACTTGGTGGCAGGTGTCTTTACCCACTGAGCCATCGTGTTGTCCTTTAATTGTTTGTGCATAGGGTGTGAGGTCAGGGCCAACTCCAGTCTTTGTGACTGCCCAGTTACCCAGCACCATTATAGAGTGGTCTCCCAAACTACTTCAGAAAGAAAAACCAGTGACACCGGTGCTGACAGCTTGGCCTTGGAGGCTCCAACAGAGCCAGAGTAAGTTTCCAGGGCCTCAGCTGGTCCTACATCAAATTCAGCTTCCACTGGTGGCTTGTTCAAGATGCTTGACTTTAAGCCATCTGCCCCAGCCATCTGGGCCTCCACATGGCGAGGCTGACCTTCTTCCTACAGGAACCTATGGGCTAAGCAATGCCCTACTGGAGACGCCCTGGAGGAAGCTGTGCTTTGGCAAACAACTCTTCATGGAAGTGGTGAAGCAGAGCGAGGCACTCCCTAAGGACACCCTTGTCACCCATCTCCTAGGTGTACTCAACAATGAGGAGCCGTAAGTGAGCAAATCCCCCTGGGGCAGCCACACAGGTCTAGGGCAGAGAGAAAGGCAGGATTTGCTACCTTGAAGGCCTGTGAAGATGAGCAGAGTAGCTTCCCGGCTATAGCACAGCATGCCTGACCTGTTATCCTCTACCTCCTTAAGATGCAGATCATTCCTCTCAGGGATGCAGTCAGGGTTTCCAGTGGGGCCCTGGATAATGAGATGGTGCACCAGGGGCCTGTGCTCTGGGGGACTGGGTATTCTCTGAGGTCTGGTCGCCCTCTACACAAGATGGGCTAGTGTGATAGTCTAGAAGGTTCTAGTTACTCAGCAAACCTTAGGGAGAAGAGTCAGAGAAGCCAGAAGCTAGGACTTTTTTTTGCTATGCCCTGCCTCCAGTGACCTTGCAGGTAAGCATAAGGCATAGACACTCCTGTCCCTGGAAGGACCAGAACACCCCCACCCTCTTCCATGCTCATGGACCTCTTCATGGGGCACTTGGTCCTCAGCCAAGAGTCCTAGCATTTGTTCCTTCACAGTCCCATACTTCTTCCCATTTTCATCTAAGCTTGGCCACTTTCTGCACACAAGGCCTGGTGTTCCTCCATCTTATTCTCCTTGCAATCTTCAAAGGAACCCTTTGCCATGCTTTCATCCTCCACAGGGTGAGGACTGCCCTGCCCCCTGCTCACTCTCTCCTGTGGACCTTGAACCTTAACATCATTCTCCATCCTCAGCATCAGCTGCCCTCTTGTGGAGCTGTTCTGGGCTTTGCTCAGCCATGGCTCCACGTGGTCCTCAATCACTTGGCTAGACCAATTATGGCTCTAGCTGTTCTTATTGATAACTATAGTTGTGGTACAAGATGTGCTGGTTGGTGATTCTTAAGGAGGCTCTATGGACTGATGCCCACTAAGAGACAATAGAGAATGCATGTGCCATCTAATGCCTAGACTTAGTGATGGTGATACTGGTGGAATGGCAACAAAGCAGAAGGACCCAAGTAGAAAAGTTATAAACAAGCCTATAGTTCCTCTCCCTACAGCCTTTTAATGCCAAGGTATCCTTAGGAACCTCTGGCTGCCAACATGGCAAATAGGACCCTCAGATACACAAGCAACAGACAGGCAGATAGGGGACTAACAGCTTCTCTGGACCTCTATCCTTCCAGACAGCTGCCAGATCCAGCCATTGAGGACCAGGGCCGGGAGTATGTACAGCCAATTCTGAGCAAGTATGCAGCCGTGTGTGTGCGCTGCGCCACCTATGGCACCAGGTGATCATGGTTGGAACTGTTGGGCATATTCCCTTCCCATTGGGTGTCCCCCACAACACAACTGGCTATGGGTAGGCATCTCCCAAATTCAGTGCATTCCAGAGTCTGCTCTAGACTCCACTGCAGGTTGAACAGATCCTATAGGTTATGTGCCCATGGGGCTGGGTGGGTCAGAGCTCTGGCTTCCTGAAGCTGTCGTAGTATCCTAGGTGGGGCTCCTGCCTGCCTCACTTGTTCAAAGAAGCCAAAAATGGCATTTGGAATGTTGGCATTGCCGTGGCATTGATTCTTCAAAGCCTGTGCTTTACATGCTGGAGTGGCAGTATGGGCTGGTCTTTATTATGTACCCACCCCACTTGAAGGACAGGGGCTCACACATGAAAGCCCCCCAGAGGGTGGAGTGAAAGGACGAAGAAAGTGAGCTAGGTGACAGCCGGGCTAGTGCTGGAAGAAGGACGTGAGGGATTTTTCTAGGTAAACAGGTCATGTGCCCCAAGTAGTTGAGAGTTTAACCTCTTGGAGAGCCAGACATGGCTGGGTGTCTGGGAGCCTGGTGTCCCGCCATGGTGTCCCTTCAGTGGGGTAGTGAGTTGTCAGTTCTACAACCCTGTGAGGGATGTAGCGAATTGGCTCTTGCTATGGAAAAGGGTCAGACTAAGATGGGGCGTTTTAGAGCAGAGGTAACAGGACTCACCCATCATGAGACTGGCCAGGAAGCCCAGATGCCCCTCCTGATAAGCCCCTCTTGTCCTCAGAGTTGAGACCGGGTGGTAATGATGCGCACCTTTAATCCCAGCACTCAGGGTTTGGATCTCTGTAAGTTCAAGGCCAGCCTGGGCTACAGAGTGAGTTCCAGGACTGGCTCCATTGCTACTGAGAAATCCTGTCTCAAAAAAAAAAAAAAAAAAAAAAAAGAGGAGTAGAAAAGAGGAGTAGCCAGCTCAGTCCTTGGTGTGATGGGCCTACCCTACCCTTTGTGCCTCAGGTCTGGTCCCAGCTGTGGCTCTGAACGGTGGAACTGGGGCTAAAGGATGCTTTCTTTCAGAACCAACACCATCATCCTTGTGGATGCAGATGGCCATGTGACCTTCACAGAACGAAGCATGCTGGACAAAGACGCCTCTTGCTGGGAGACCAACACCTATGAGTTCACACTACAGAGTTAGCCCCACTGCAAGGATGCTGTGCCTCAAGGGTCAGCAAGGATAGGAACCTTCCATGGCCACACTGCATGTCTGTGACTCAGCCAGCATCCCTAGGACCAGGACCCGCTGATCTGTGTGTTACCAATACTTGACCTCATAACCAGCTCAGGGTTTGTCTATACCAGTGGGGAATGGCAGAGTTGAACACTAGGTTTGAGTCAGACCTGGGTGTGTCCTACACATGTGCCGCACCTCATGCTCAGTCCCACCACCACCACCACCACCACCACGTACACACACGTGTGTGCCTGGCTGACTAGCAGGGCAGTGCCTCTCACTTCACATGTTTGGCCAGTGATCTCTTCCCTGAACAAATAACAGAAGCAGGCTTTTTATAGCAGCTATGGCCTTCCCTTTCCTGAATGCAGAGTGCAACTGTGCCTCAGTTCCTCATGGCTAGACATGCTCCTGCAGGAGAGCTGGTCATGTTAGAAACTGAACGTGGCACAAGAAAAACCCACATGGATAGATAATGGAGATAATTGGAGATCCTGTAGTTCTCTGTGTTAGGGGATCCTGTGTGCATTGGTCAGTCCCATTGTGTGGATCCTGGGATCTCTTAGACCCCTGCTTGCCCAGCAAGCATTGTGGGTTCTGAGCAGGACTATCTCAGCAAGTGGCTAAGCCAGCCCCTGCCATCTCCCGCCTCCCTATTCACAAGCTGGACTTCATGTGAACATGAGCTGTTGATAATAAAATGTTGAGCTTGTGATGGGTAAGGGTGTTTCAGAGTTTTTCCTTCGTGTGGAGGCAACAGAACTGGAGCTGTCATGGTGGGTCAGATGCCCTTCAGTGCTCTTTCTTCTGTTTACATAACCTCAGGAGCACTGATGGATGCCTGTCAGGTGAGGCCAGGGTGTAGAGAACCTATTGGTGAACCTGTGTGGGCTGCCACCACCAGGGTTCCCTCAGGAGTCCCTAAGATCCTTTTGGTTCATAAGCATGAGGACTATGTGTTCATCCCTTTGGGAGACATGTGACTCCCACAAACCTGGGTATGACATCGGCATTTTACCCATCTGACATGGGGAGAGGGGTCCATAGAAGAGCTAGTGAGCCTATGGGTCCTGGGCCAGAGAATGGTGGGAATGGGTGAGTTAGAGGTCCAGGGGATGTTCTTAGCCCCAGAGCTTGGGAACCTCCACCCTGCCAGCAAGAAGACCATAGCTCAGGCTCCCTTGTACATCTGCAGCCACCTTTGTCTTGGCATTTCAGAGTCATGAGCCACGCGTGGATCTGAACTGGGTGTCGCAGACTGAATGTGATTTGCTGTTGGTTCCTCTTGTGAAGACTTCACCTTTCCTGTCTCTAGCACCCTCTTCTGGGGTCCAAGGGAAATACTGCTTTATTGAAACCAAGGTTGAACAGGTGACAAAACGTCACCCAGGCCTGAGAAAAGACAGGTACTGAGTATCACACTGGTCGAACCCCCACAGGTTGCTATAGATTCTGCCAGCCTTGTTCTATACCCATTTCCACTCATGGAGAACAACCCCTCAGGTGTCTAAGTCTGCCTGAACCTCCTCAGTGGCCTCCTGTGGAAAGGACAGCCCAAAAGTGTTACTTTTCTGATTGTAGCCTAAGTTAGGTTCTGCCTTAAAGGAGATCCTCATCCCAGTCCCCCAGAGCTTGCACAGCTTTGCAACAGCCTCCATCCAGACATCAGCCTCCAACGCTCTAAAAGAAGTGTCTAGCTCAGTGGTGTGCCTGCCTAGCAGCCCTGACACTCCAAATTCAGTCCCCAGCACTGCAGAGACTGAGGCCAGCCTGGGATACCTAGTGAGACCCTGTCACGTAAAACTAAAACCTTAGTCAAAACAAACCCGCAAACATGCTTCTGAATAAGGTGCTCGTTACCACTGCGTTTGCTGTGGCAGCGTGAGAAAAGGAATACAGCTTTACCTGTGAGGAACCCAGCTTGAAAGGGCTGTATGGTTCCTTAGTTACCACACAGCTGAGGAAGTGAGACAGGAGGCCAGGACAGAGACAAGGTGCTGCCTCTTGGGGCGCTGCCTCCAGGGGCGCTGCAAGCCCTCCACCCTTCCATGCAGGTCCTACCTTCACTTCACTGGCCTCAGGTCCCTTCCTCAGAGCTCATGAACTAGGATCTTTATATCCACTGTCCCCCTGCCTGAAGAGCTCTTTCCTCAGATATCCAAACCACACATTCTTCCTCTCTCTCCACTTCCCCCTTTCTTCCCCCACATCTCTTGAGACAGGGCCCCTTACTGGCCTGGAACTTGTCAAGTAAGCCAGGCTTATTGGCCAGTGAACTCCAGGAATTCGCCCCTCTGCCTGTGGAATTACAAACACATGTCACTCCACCCAGTCCTTTTTCATAAGGGTTCTGAAAACTAAACTCGGGTTTTCATGTCTGCAAGGTAAGTGAAGCCCTCTTTTACTAGGTCTTGGGCAGACACCTGTTTAAAGGTGAAATCTCAGACCAGTGAGATGGCTTGGAGGGGAAAAAATCCTCACTGACAACTATAGTTCAATCCCTGGAACTCAGTACAAAGAATCCACTCCTGAGTTGTTCTCTGTTGCATTCTTATGGCACACATGCCTTGCACTCAAACACCACACACACACACACAAGACAGAAACAGTAGACTCCGTGAGTTCGAGGCCAGCCTAGTCTCCATAGCAAGTTCCGGGACAGCCAGGGCTTTAAGGAGAAACTTGTCTTGAAGGAAAAAAGAGCGTTTGAACCTTTTAAACATGAAGACTTGGCTCAGAAGAAGGTCTGAGTGAGCAACAGCCATAACAAAAATATGATTAATGAAAGGCCATTAGTAGTACCCATTAGTAGCTTTACTAAAACCAAGACTGCCCTTTTATCATCTAGGATATCCTAGACAATTTTTTTTTTTTTTGGTTTTTCGAGACAGGGTTTCTCTGTGGCTTTGGAGCCTGTCCTGGAACTAGCTCTGTAGACCAGGTTGGTCTCAAACTCACAGAGATCCGCCTGCCTCTGCCTCCCGAGTACTGGGATTAAAGGCGTGTGCCACCATCGCCCGGCGACAATTTTTAAAATACATAAATTTAAATGTATCAAAGAAATACAGAAAGTGAGAGTTGATAGAAATCTTGTCAAAGGAGTCATTTTTTGTTTTGTGTCTTTGAAACAGGGTCTCACTATGTACACCAGGTTGACCTTGAACTCACAGACGGCTGCCTGCTTAACTTCTGCAGTACCTCAGAACCCTTATTAAAGGTGTGTGCCACCATGCCTGACTTGTCAGGAGTTTCAAACTCAGTTACTTAGGGTCCTTGTTTACCAGTGAGGTCAAAGGTGAGCATGACTCAGTCTTACCCACGGCCATATGGATGTACTGTCAGAAGCAGCTGACATAAGTCTGAGGTAAGAGATGCATGGCCAGGTGGTTTATGTTTAATCCCAGCACTAGGGAAGCAGAGCGAGGTGGATCTCTGTGAGTTCAAGGCCAGCCTGGTCTACAAAGCAAGTGCCTGGACAGGCTCCAAATCTACACAGAGAAACCCTGTCTGGGATGCCCCCCTCCACACCCCGAAAGAAACAAAAAAAAAAACTGGATACTTTATTTAGCCAGGTGGTGGTGATGCACATCTTTACTGTTACACAGAGAAAAAAAACAAGAGATGCATGACTTTAATCTCAAGTGTTGTAGCATAGGAGGTAGCTAGAAATGTATGGTAAGGTCCTTTCCCTCCAGAGTGAAATTAGTCTTTTTCCCCCGTTTTTTTTTTTATTTAAAAAAAAATACCAATCCAAATTCCCACTCCCTCCCCTCTTCCCAGTCCCCTTCCTCTCTCTCCACAGACCCTCCCCCTCTACCCCTGAAATGAGTCTTTTTCTTTTTGGTTTTTCGAGACAGGGTTTCCCTGTGTAACAGTCCTAGCTGTCCTGGAACTAGCTCTTGTAGACCAGGCTGGCTTTGAACTCACCAGTGATTTACCTGCCTCTGCCTCCCGAGTGCTGGGATTAAAGGCATGCACCACCACTGCCCGGCATGAGTCTTTTTCTAGTTGATAAAATACATTGCTTTTAGTTTTGGTCCGTTTTGTTCTGTTTCTTGAGCACTCACTGTGTGAAGACTGTGTGAAGACCCTTTAACCAACTTTGCATTTTTAGTTTCCATGTTCAAACATCTCTTGTGTGGCTGGGAGAGATGGCTCCTCAGTTAAGAACACTTGTCACTTTTGCAGAGGACCTGGGTTTAGTTCCCAGCACCCAGTGCACATAAAATAAATAAGTCTTGCTGGGCGGTGGTAATGCATGCCTTTAATCCCAGCACTCGGGAGGCAGAGGCGGGAGGATCTCTGTGAGTTCGGGGCCAGCCTGGTCTACAAGAGCAAGTTCCAGGACAGGCAAAGCTACAGAGAAACCTGGTCTCGAAAAACCAAAGTTAAAAAAATTAAGAGGTAGTCCAGGTGTGGTGACTTTAATCCCAGCACTCAGAAGGCAGAGGCAGGCAGATCTCTGTTAGTTTGAGGCCAGCCTGGTTCTAGGGCCACCAAAGTAATATAGAGAAACCCTGTCTCAAAAAACACAAACTAATTAATTAAGAGGTAAGTTGTGATTTTAGAACCAATGGGAGTTTCTGGTTCAGGACAGTTTTCTATGTATGAGTGTAGCCTGAATGCCTGTGTACCACATGGTGCTTGATGCCCAGGGAGTCCAGAAGAGGGAACTGGAGCCTTTGGAATTGAAGTTACAGACACTTACAGACACTTGTGAGCTGCTATGTGGGTGCTGGGAATCAAACTAGAGTCCTCTGCAAGAGCAACCAGTTCTCTTAACTGCTAAGCCATCTGTCCAGCCTTCCTGCCTTTAGTTTGGACAATTAGTACCATTTGTTTGACTGTCAGAGTAGAGGGAGGATAGGTATAATGAAAACCTAGTACAACAGACCAAATTTTATAAGTAGATTTAATATTCACTAAGATAAGTTTTATAGTGACTATGTAATTTAGTAGAAATGCCCCCAAATAGGAATAATTCTTTTTAATAGAATTTCCCCCATACTAAGTTTGTGGCTGTCTAATATGTGAAGTCTTCAGTCCAGTGAGAAAACAAAGTTGCATTTGAATAAAATCTAACCAACTAGTTGCTTTTTAAAAATATTTCTTTTCTTTTCTTATGTATGCGTGTGACTGTGTGAGTTACCTGCTGGATCCCTGGACTTAGAGTTACAGGTGTTTGTGAGCTGTCAGACATGTGTAGCTGGAGGTGGAAAGCAGTTTTCTGCAAAAGCAGTGTGCCCTCTTAAACACAGAGGTCTCTCCAGTCCCTTTACACCCCATTTCACACCATTTTAATATCCCCTTTGGCTTCACCTTTTGTTTTCTGTTTTGGAAAAATCCTTTACTTTAAAAGGAGAGATTTTTTTTCTTACCTAGGAAAGTCTTTCTTTCATTAGACAATGCAACATATAAATGCAAATGTATCAACTTATTATAGAATTCAAATTATATTTATGACAATGTAACAATGTCAGATACCCTATGTCCATGATGCTAAACTACAAGGTTGTTGTCTGTTGCCTAGAGACAGAGTTGACATCTGCTTTGGTTTTTTTTTTGTTTGTTTGTTTGTTTTGTTTTGTTTTTAAAGACAGGTGTGGTGGTGGTGCATTCCTTTAATCCCAGCACTCAGGAGACAGAGGCAGATGAATCTCTGTGAGTTTGAGGCCAGCCTGGTCTACAGAGTGAGTTCCAGGACAGCCAGGACTGTTATATAGAGAAACCCTGCCTCAAAAAAATAAAAAGACAGGGTCTCATTATTTAGCCTAGGTGGCCAGAAACACCCACCTACTTTCGCCTTCCAAGTGCTGGAATTAAAGGTGTGCATCAACATGCCTGGTTGCTGCTGTTTGTTTTTTTTTTTTTTTTAAGTCTCTTTTTTGGGGCTTAGGGGATTCCAGAGATGGCTCAGTTATTGTGGGCCTGTGGTCTTTCTGAGATTCACCAGTCTAATCATTAATAAATTTTAACAAAGAAGAGGCTTTTACTCAGTTACTGGCACCAGGTATTCTACATCCAGGACTCAGAATTCCTAAATGCAGCCCAACTACCTCAGTCAACGTTTTTTTTAAAAAAAAAAAATTATTTATTTATTATACATACCATATTCTGTCTGTGTGTATTCCTGCAGGCCAGAAGAGGGCACCAGACCTCATTAGAGATGGTTGTGAGCCACCATGTGGTTGCCAGGAATTGAACTCAGGACCTTTGGAAGAGCAGGCAATGCTCTTTTTTTAAAAATATTTATTTATTATGTATACGATATTCTGTCTGTGTGTATGTCTGCACCAGACCTCATTACAGATGGTTGTGAGCCACCATGTGGTTGCCGGGAATTGAACTCAGGACCTTTGGAAGAGCAGGCAATGCTCTTAACCACTGAGCCATCTCTCCAGCACCAGTCTAGGGGTTTTAAAGACAACGAACAATTTGTTCTCCTACAAGCTGAAAGTCCTCTTGTGCAAAACAAGCTTGGTGACCAAAGTAGAATTAGCAGTGTTGTAGTTAGGGTTTCTATTGCTGTGAAGAGATACCATGACCATGGCAACTCCTAAAAAGGAAAATGTTGAATTGAGGGGGCTTGCTTACAGTTTCAGGTTCATTATTATCATAAATTCAGTCCATTGTCATCATGGTGAGCAGCATGGCAGCATGCAACCAGACAAGGTGCTGCAGGAGTAACTGGGAGTCTTACATCTTGCAGGCAATAGGAAGTTGACTGACTATCCTACCGAGGGAAGCTTGAGCAAAAGAGACCTCAAAGCCCACCCCCACAGTGACACACCTACTCCAACAAGGCCACTCCTCCTAATAGTGCCACTTCCTTTGGAGGCAATTTTCTTTCAAACACTACATTCCACCCCTAGTCCCCAAAGGCTTGTAGCCATATCATACCACACACACACACACACACACACAAAAAAAAACATTTAGTTCAATCTCAAAAGTCCCCATAGTCTATAACAGTCTCAAACTTGTTTCAAAGTCTCTTCTGAGACTCATGGCTTTCTCTTAACTGTAATTCCCCTGTAAAAAAATCAAAATGCAGATCATTAGATTCCAACATCTAATGGCACAGGATATGCATTACCAATCCAAAATGCAGGGAAGGAAGCATAATGAGGAAATACTGAACCAAAGCAAAACCCAAACCAAGCTGGGCAAACTCCAAACTCTGCATCTTTCAAACCACCACAAGCAGAAAAAAAAATTAACTATTAACAACCCTTAACATTTAAAAGTCTAATTTTGCTTTTTAGTTCTCTGTCCTGGAGCCCGTGCTGTAGACCAGGCTGGCCTCACAGAGATCCACCTATTTCTGTCTCTGGAGTGCTGAGGTTAAAGGCATGTGCCACTTCCCTGCATTTTAGTTCATGGTAATTCCTGAGTGGTTTTCATAGAAGCAGCAAGTTTCCCCAAAGACCATACAGTAACCTCCTTGTTCTGCACAAAGCAGAACAAGTGCCCTACAATACTGTAAGACTACCTCAGCTAATGAGCCAACCCAGTCTTCTAATCTTGCAATAGACCCTTCTAATGCAAATAAACCCTGGGTATTTGACAGCCTAAGTTTTTGTAGCTGTCTTATGGCCATTGCCGTGCCTGTTGCCTTGAGAGGTCTCCAGCTGTTCCCAACCCTAAGCTTGCTCTGAGGGGTATGAGGAGAGGAACTGCACATTTCTCTCTGCCTCTGGGGGCTGGAAAGATTTGCACATACAAGTGCTCTCTCCCTGCCAGACTGTCCCGGGAAATAGGAATACGAAGATACAAAATCTTGTGGCTTGATGCATATGCCAGATAACTAAGCAGGGACATAATCCATCATCACATACAAACTGAACAGTTTCAACTGCGAGGAGAATGATGGGATGTTCACCTGACAAAATGTGACCAGGAGCTGTGAGACATTTATGGCAAGTTTTGCATTTGCTCTTACGGGAGGATCTAGACATATATCCCACGAAAGAGCACTGTGGGGGGGGAACATAGCCAGACAAAATAACATCATTAGTCTGCAACCCGCACCAGTCTTATCTTTAGTGGATCTTCTCAAGCCTTTGTGATGGGCCTTTTCTCTGCAGCTGGGTTATTATAGGCGATGATACTTGGCCTGTCGTGATGGTGCCGATAACATCTACTTTGACAGAAGTGGAGGTGGTCAAGATAACAAAGTGTGGTCCCTTCCAGTTTCCTTTAGACCTAACATTCCAGCCTTGAGGAGACGGAGTGACATACTTCTGTCACCGCTTCTCGGCAGAAATTAGGACATTGTTGTCAGGAGACCAAAGGCTGGGGGTCCAGGCAGTGGGTGGCATTCATCAGAAGCATCTGGTTCGCTGACCCAGCTGAAGAGACAGGGAACAATCACATTGGCTGGACTGGTCCACATCAGTTTTCAGCATGTCCAGGGCTCACAGCCATTTGGAGCAGTTTGTAGTCAACAGCTATTTCCTGGATGGTGCTGTCAGCTGAGTGGAAGTCTGTTAAGACAGATATAAATTAGAGACAGAAGTTAAAGTTTAGACACTTAGAGGAAAATTTTACATTTAGTCCCCCTCAGGAATAAGCAATAGGTGGGGAAGCTTACGCTGTTGATTGACAGGTGCACTTATCTGGAGTCCATTGACCTGTGATTCCCTGAAGCTTACATGAATTTAAAGTTTACAAAAAGAGATAAAAGTTTTAGATATATTAGCATTACCGCTGTTTTGAATCTACAGAAATACACATTGTAGAAAAAAGCAGTAGACACATGCCTTTGAGTCATAGTAGCTTTGGGACCCCCAAAATTATTTTGAGTTAAAAGTATTAGCACATTTTCCTCTGTCCAGAGGACTGAATATATATAGATTGGACAGAGATGTTTTTAGCACAACAAGAAGCAATTTTTATTTGAAACCAGCCTAGTCTAAAAAGCAAGTTCCAGGGCAGCCAGGACTATGCAGAGAGACCCTGTCTCAAAAAACAAAAACAAAGAAGCACCTTTTCTTCTATACTTAGAAAACAACCAAAGGGGGGGCTGGAGAGATGGCTCAGAGGTTAAGAGCATTGCCTGCTCTTCCAGAGGTCCTGAGTTCAATTCCCAGCAACCACATGGTGGCTCACAACCATCTGTAATGGGGTCTGGTGCCCTCCTCTGGCCTGTGGGCATACACACAGACAGAATATTGTATACATAATAAATAAATAAATATTT